TGGGTGTGGGTGTGGGTGTGGGTGTGGGTGTGGGTGTGGGTGTGGGTGTGGGTGTGAGTGTGTGAGTGTGGGTGTGGATGATCAGAAGAAGAAAATCGACACCCATCCCCCCACCCACACCCACATCGTCCGAACCATCTCCTACGAAACCTATTTAAGTTCCGTAGAGCGAAAAAAGGTTTCGTAAGAAAATGCAAAACTTTCATAGTTTCGCACAAAACTATAGTGCGAAATCATAGGGGTTACTAGGAAACTATGGAGGTTTCGTATTTTCTTACGAAACCTTTTTTCTCTCTACGGAACTTAAATAGGTTTCGTAGGAGATGGTTCGGACGGTGTACCCGCGGACAGATCCTTTTAAGGTTTCGTAGATTTTAACAAGCATTTTTTTAAAGCATTTGGAAGCTTTTAGACACCTACGAAACCTTTTTGCAGGGTTCGGTAAATTACCTTTTTTTTTTACAGTGTACTGCAAGAAAAACTATGAAAAATATCACTAACAATTTATCATCAATTATTATCGGTCACCCTTTATATCAGTGATGTAAGAAAAAAATGCCTGTTGTTTAACACTAGTAGCTTCTCATGTGAGCCACAAATGAAGAATGCAAAAACGTTTATCATGTTTGTTACAGAAATGGAATGAAGAGAGATACGAGAGAAAGTATTTGTACAAGGAGGTTTTTCACATGACATATCATCACTCCATCATATGAATCAACTCAGAAAAAGAATGTCTTTATGCTCATTCACGTGGCTCTAAATATACATATCGAGGAATAATCAACTACAAATACTATCTCCTATTGGCATAAAATCTAAACATTCAGTAGTCCATGTCGAAGTACAAGATTTCGATGAAACTGTCTTCTTTGATCGATTTCTCTTTAATTGAATATCATATTTTATTCATTGACATAAGCTATTATGTATATATATATATTTATGTGAGAGTGACATAAGCACGAAGTTTAGAAATTTCTAGCAAGATTGTTGTAATATTTTGTCATAAATGCATAATTTAATTTTGCAAGATTGATTTTTGAAAATCTTCAGGCTAGCATGTATTTCTTCGTTCTATAAGACAATTTTCATGCATATGTCCACTTATGAAAAGATTCTTACAAAGCTTGAAGAAAATTCAGGTTTGTGTTAGCGTCAATAAATGGCGTTCCTTGACACCAACGTTATTTCTGTAAGTTTGTTGTTATGATCCTCTTTGATGCTTCTTTTGTTTGTTGTTGGTTCGTCGCCCATGGCCGACTTGTTGTTGTTGATCTTTGGTTAGTTATTATCGTTAATACAGAGTGGTCCAAAAAAAACTTACCCCCTTTTTGTAATGCTGTTTTTTTATCTTTAACATTCAGTTTTAGTCCAATTCTTTTTGCAATAGATAGGCCTAGGAAAAAGTCACTAGGTAGATATAATTTTATTTTGAAACCCTTTCATCGTAAATGAAAATAATAAAAGTGATTGATTAAATATGAAATTTGTGCTCGAACGGTATACTTTCATTGGAAAATAAAAATCATTTCTGAGTGAGAGTTATTTTTGACTTGAAATTTTCTATAGTTATAATGCTTCTTGTAGTATATTCATCACAGAAAAAAATTCAATTCGAAAAAAGATTCATTTTATCAGAGAAGCTTTTGTTTTCATAGAATTATTCATAATTGATGATGAGTGCTGCTTCATGTTTTTTGATGGTACTAAATTTCATTCTCAGCATGAAACTAAAATTTATCAGTAATTTATACATATTGTTTTACTAATTGTAAAGCTCCGTCTGCGGTATAGAAACAATCGTAACTGAAACTAAAATAAACGCTGAAATAAAGAAATTGGTACGGCTCATCACTTTATGAACAAATATCGATGATTAATATTCAATCGATATTTTCTAATAATATTAGCAAATTGCCATGAATTCCAAATAATTTACATGTGAACTTAAACTGTGGACGGCGATAAATTTCGCGTAAAAATTTTACGTCATAATTCTGTTTCTCTATTGAATTATTGAATTTTTACAACAGGACTCAAAAATAATAAAGATTATTTCGTCCCCGAACAGATTTTATATTTAATCAATTACTTTTTTTTACTTTCATTTACAGTGAAACGGTTTCGAAATAAAATTATATCTTCTAGTGACTTTTTCCTAGGCCTATCTGTTGCAAAAAGAATTGGACTAAAACTGAATGTTAAAAATAAAAAAACAGCATTACAAAAAGGGGGTAAGTTTTTTTTGGACCACCCTGTATTATCATCATTATTTTTTGTTGTTTATATTTATGAGCAAATAAACGATAATCATTTATTATAACTGATAATCTTCGTTTCAGTATTATGCCGTTCAAGTTCGAGTGAGCAGTTTATAGCGATCTCTCGTTATTTAAGACAGGCATACCTCTATATTAATTCCTATTTAGCCTATGTAAGTTGTGAAGGTTAAAATCTCAAATATAAGAAAACGAGAGACTCACAATTGGTGGAGAAGTTGGAGACAACTTTTGTAGGCTTCTACTTTTTTCTTTTCTCTCTTCTTCTGTTTTTTTTTGTCCTTATTTCATTTGCCCAATGCTTCACATTATCTTTTCGTCGTAGTTATATGTGTACGTTGTCGCAATCATTTAACATTATTTCATTGAATAAATCTAAATGAGTTAAAAGATACACAAGAAATCATTGCTACAAATAGTAAGAAAGATAATTTTGATGCATTCATTTCCCATCACTTCGTTCCGTTCTCGTCGAAACAAAGTTTTATTGAATGGTTAGATGAAACCGAACGTAGACTTACTCAGTTAGGAGTGTCACAGAACTTGCGGTTTGAAGCTATCTCGCTTTTAGTCAAGAATGATGTTAAACACTAATACATAGAAGTTCGAAAGAATATTCAATCTTTTAATGATTTTTATAAATATTTATGGTCAGAATTTGACATAAACGATTCTTTTTCATCTGAAACGAAATTTCATCAAAATTTTTCGAATAATTTGTCTAATGGAGAATTTATATATCAAAGTACAATAGCTGATAACCTAAAGAGAAAATGCACCGATCATCTAGATACCATATGTTCTTAATGTGAAGCACCAGTATCGCAGTCAAACTTTATTGTTGATTTTGATGTCACCAATATTATTGGTGAGATACCAGAGGAGCAATCAATGATAGTTACTTCTGCCTATTCTACGACTGTAGTTGATCGAACAATCAATGATCGTCAGAATACGACGCTGGAACATTTGATAAAAAAATCCTAACATATACAAAAGTTACAAAGGCAATATCAAAAAATCGATCTCTAAAATTCAATATTGTTGTAATGAGACTCATGTTTCTGATTCTAATCGATCAGATTTTGTCTCTTATCCATTGCGACGGTATCTTTCTCAATGATTGAAAAATAATAATAGGGTATCAGCTGCAGGGAACGTCTTCATATATAAAAAGAGGATGTGGATGTGGCTATAAGTGTGTGAGTGTGATTGACCGACATTTCCGCGCCGACGTTACCGCGGACGACACTTTCGTGCAACGACATGTTCGCGCATGGACATTTCCGCGCATCATATTGTTTCATTGACACTTAGAACAAGAATTTTTTTTCACTCATTCAACTTAATTCATTTTATCTGCTGTGAATAATTGTTCTATTTTTGTTATTAGACTAATGATAAGAATAAAATGTTAATTCAGATCATAGGATTAATTAATTAAGAACAAAGAAATATGATTAAAATCAGACTTAAAATAACGTGGATTAAATAAAAGAACATGAAGAAATTGAAATCTCGATATCATTTGATAAATTTTTAACTCAAAGCTATGTCTATCATTCTTTCAAGTAAAAATAAAGATCAACTTCTCTTCGAGCGTTTTCGTTATCGTCGTGACAGATCGGTTTGGCGGTGTATCAAAGACAAGTGCAAAGATCGTGCTCGATTTGATGGAAATATTTATGAAGCATATAAAAATCATACATGTCAAGCACCAAATCCAGAAGAAATTGAAAAAGCTGTATATAATTATGAAGTCCGAAAAAAAAGCTGAAAATTCTCATGATCCACCACGTTTAATAATTCAAGAAGCAAGATTAAAATTATCTTCAGACGCGGCTGCTGTTGTTCCACAATGTTTAGCATCACAACGTTCAGTTCAGCGTACCCAAAAGGATAATGATATTCCAAAAGAACCTACTTCGTTTAGTGAAATTGTTATTCCACTTAAATTTCAATTAACAACTTCAAATCAACAATTTTTACTATATGATAACGATGATAATCAAAATCGATTATTAATATTTGCAAGTCGAGACCAACTGGATCTTCTTAATGGATGTGAAATATGGCATTGGGATGGTACCTTCGCGGTATGTATTTGAAATAATATTTAAACCTTATAATATATTTGTTGTTGTACTCATAGGTTGCACCAAAATTATTTGAGCAAATGTATTCTATTCATGGCTTAATTCGTGGAAAAACATTACCGTTAATATATTCTCTTTTACCAAATAAAAAAGAAGAAACATATGAAACATTATTTCGAGTAGTACAACAGCATGTTCAACGCGTACCACGTTATATAACAATAGATTTCGAAAAAGGAGCAGAAAATGCATTTGCTATTGTGTATCCTCAAAGTCAAATGCTTGGTTGTTTTTTTCATTTTAAGCAAAATATTTGGAGGAATGTTTCAGTAAGTTTAATATTATTTTCTGCTATATGTAGTGATTTTTCTTCATTTTTTACAGGAACTTGATCTGAAAAAAGAATTTCTTGAAAATAACATTAGTCGTCGTACTATGAAAAATTTAGCAGCATTAGCATTTGTTCCTGAACAAGATGTCATTCGAACAGTTACTAAAATTAAAGAATCTGCTAATGAAATCTTAGACGGTAAAAACCTTTATCTTTATGCATACTTTCACTATTTGAAACGTTGAACTTTTAGATCTGATTATATACTTTGAAGACAATTATATCGGCAGAAAAATGTCAAGAAATCGTAGAAGACATCCTCGATTTAATATCTCTATGTGGAATTGTTTTACAAGAATTAACCTCGATTTACCCAGAACTAATAACAGAATATAAGGCTGGCACAACGCTTTTCATGTAAGAATATATAATTATATATCTTTAAACTTAACTATGGATCAACTTTTTGTAGAATATCGTTGATGATCATCCAAGCTTTTTCGAATTTCTCAAAGATATTATTAGAGAAGAGAAAAATACAAATGTTGTTTCAACTCAAATGCTCGTTGGTACAACTACACAAACTAAACGAAAAAAATATGAAAAGATCAATGATCGCATCAAAGATATGGTGAAAAATTATCACGATATTTCACTCGAAGATTATTTGAAAATAGCGAGATCAGTATTTAATTTTTGAAGTTCTAACTCTATTCACTTGCTGTGCGATGTTATTTGTGTAATTCTTTTTTTGTATGTATTTGGTCAATAACTTGATACTCATTGAAAAGGATATCTATTAACTTGAATATATGAAAGCAATTCGTCAGGTAATAATCAGTGAAATAGTATGATGCGCGGAAATGTCCATGCGCGAACATGTCGTTGCGCGAAAGTGTCGTCCGCAGTAACGTCGGCGCGGAAATGTCGTGTCACGTGTGAGTGTGAGTATGAGTGTGACTGTTTTTCTGAAAAAAATCTCCACACTCACACCTACATCCACTGATATTCTACATCCAACATTCGCATCTACACCCACGCCCCACACACACTTCAAATAGCATATTATTCTTGCTTTAACTCAGAAGAAATTGCCTCTATACTAAAAGCTTATTCAAGACTTAAATTGTATTTTAAAAATAGTTGTGTTGATTTTTAAGTTCGATACTCGCAAAGTTATTTCATGAAGTATTCATATGATGTCAAAGTAAAATTGAGTGGAGGATGCAGTACCTCCACCATTTAGGTTCACCCAGAATGAAACGGTATATATACTACCGATTGATGCTGTAAACGATTGTCCGAGAAAATTGATGATAGCAGTGCAACCATCTTGAAAGCAATTACCAATTGCCGAATTGCAGGTGCTGCCAGTAATAATTACCGTTGCAGGCGCACTACACGTAGACGTACAGAATCGTTCCCAGCCTTCTAATGTACTTGTAGAGTTATCGAAGCCACCATTTTGGAGCAGCTGGATATTGGATGCATTAACATTAACCACGGATACCGTATCTAGAAGAAATTGACGATTACTTGTACTTAGAAACCCAAAAAGAAGCATGGGTGATGTAGTAGTTGCTGTGAAGTTATATTTATACTGAGTCCATGAGCTGGGATTCGTCCCTGGTACGCTGAAAATAGTTCCACGACCACTCGATGTGCAATTGATCACTGTGAAATTTTAAAAAGTCAAGAATCGAAATGTAATCCTATTAACATACCCCTCTGTGTAGTTGTTGTTGTCGTAGTTGTTGTCGATGTTGTTGTTGTTGTTGCTGATGTTGTACTGGTGGTTGAACTAGTGCTAGTTGAAGATGTCGTAGTTGTCACCGATGTAGTACTAGTGCTTGTTGAAGTAGTACTGCTGGATGTCGTTGTTGTTGTCTCAGATGTTGTGCTCGTAGATGTACTAGTGCTAGATGATGTCGTTGTTGTTGTCTCTGATGTTGTACTGGATGTTGTTGTTGTTGTTTCTGAAGTTGTACTACTTGTTGAGCTGGTACTGGTTGATGTAGTTGTACTTGTTTCCGATGTAGTACTGGAACTGGAAGTACTAGTAGAGGTGGATGTTGTTGTTGTTGTTTCTGAAGTTGTACTACTTGTTGAGGTGGTACTGGTTGATGTGGTTGTAGTTGTTTCCGATGTAGTACTGGAACTGGAAGTACTAGTAGAGGTGGATGTTGTTGTTGTTGTCTCGGTTGTTGTACTAGTAGTTGTTGTGGTTGTCTCCGATGTTGTGCTTGTTGTGGATGTTGTAGTCGTTGTCTCGGATGTAGTGCTGGTTGTTGAACTAGTGCTAGTTGATGACGTTGTAGTTGTTTCCGACGAGGTGCTGGTGGTTGAAGTAGAGCTGCTGGTAGTGGTTGAAGTAGAGCTGCTAGTGGTGGTTGAAGTAGAGCTGCTAGTGGTGGTTGAAGTAGAGGTGCTAGTGGTGGTTGAAGTAGAGCTGCTGGTGGTGCTTGAAGTAGAGCTGCTAGTTGTGGTTGATGTAGAACTAGTGCTGGACGTTGTTGTGGTCGATGTTGTGGTAGTGGTTTCTGTGGTACTCGTAGTCGAAGTGGTACCTACAAAAGAAGGTCGGTTATATCTCTTCCTTCTCATTATTACTTGATTCTAACTAGGAATTATGTTCCTGTATCGATATCAGATGCTTATTTTCGTGATTTTGAAGCGAAGTTTTGTTTAATTGTGTGAAAATAATTCGCTGGTGTGAACGTTGGTCTTATCTGCTCTCACAGTCATCCAAACCCGCACACACACTTACACCCGGCATTATTATTATGGCCAAGGCATTCTACTTTTATTCATGCAGTAAAGCTTTCTATATAAGCTATTTCATGAATTTTTAAACACTATGATCAAAACTGTTTGTCAACCCTAAGTTTATATGATTTATGAAATCGTTCTTCCGTACATGGGAAACGTCTGAAATGGTTTGGTTTTCTGTGGTGAATTTTCTGTGATGTTCTTATGATAAACAAGCTTCAAAAATTTCTCTTGTTGAATCTCTTTATGTTACTGTCCATACAACAATTGAAGCTTTTGTTATTTGCAAAAATATAATGAACAAAATGCACAACAGAGAAAGGTAATACGATATAGGTGACATCCTGACATAGGAATTAACATTAGAGAAACTATGGATTAGCTTAAATAAATCTTAAAATGAATATCGAGGGTTTATCTTACTTGTTGACGTAGTACTTGTCGCCGACGTTGTACCTATAAAATTGGCTTCACTTTCATTCTCTTCTAAGCAAAGAGCTTCTTACTTGTACTTGTTGCCGATGTACTTGTGGTAGCAGTTGTAGTAGTTGCTGTTGTAGCTGAAATCAATGACTGATGATATGAGCTTGTAAACAATAAATGACTTCTATTCTCGATTGGAGAAGTAACGCTGCCGTTTAAGCGATAGACTTCATTTTCAAAAAATCTATGATACCTCACCGATCGTGAGCAATGGCAAATGACATCGGAAGATTTTAGAATAAATAGTGCGCCTTTCAAGTCTTTAGTTAAAAAATTGACTCGTAACTATCCGTGAAAATATGGCAACAAAAAAATGGTGTTTCTTATGCTAAGTGTGACATTCGTTTTGCTAAAAAATGAATATCTCATATTATTTTACAACTCTTAGGACAAAAGGTCTTTGAATGTGAGTTCGTCGATAAATCTCTAGTACAGCCTCTCTCTCAAAGGATATGAAGGTTCTTGTCGGTATGAATATCTTTTTCGTCCACAAATTCCTTTTTTTTGTTAACGAAATGAAACGTTTCTCCATAGTTAGGCAACAAAAGAAACATAAGATGTCTGCTTCGCTAAAAAAACGTTGTAGGGATTAGAAATGCAACAGTGACGGTGCACCGGTGAATTTTTGTTTTATTCCTGTATTTATAATACGTGGTACACCCTAGAAACTCGCGCACTTAATTTTCCGATAAGAATTGATCTCTCGTCGTAATAAAGTGATTTTTGCAAATGCTCATCGGAAATTCGAGATATGGCGGAGAACCAAGCCGGTAAGGGTATAGAAACCTACGGTGAAGACCGGCGTATTGGTATCAATGAGTGCATTGAGCCTTACGTTATCTGAGTAATAGTGGAAACCGGTCATCACCGTAGATCTTCGTGGCTCTAAATTGACAGTATTGATCTTAACTATGGATGCAGCGGTGAAGATCATTCACCGGTTAACCATCACCGTTCCATCGGTCCAATCAGATAACTGTATCTACGATTATCGGCCCAACTACAATTACCGTACTTACGGTTAACCGATTTAACTACGATTACCGTAGCTACGGTTACTGATCTAACTAAGATAACCGTACCTGCGGTTATCGTCACCGTTGCATCCCTAATCTTAAGGGCGATAGTCGAATCTATATTCTTCACTAGACGACGCTATGATAAATGAAATATTTCCTTCATATCTGATTACACTGATTCAGGTAATAAAAGGGCCAGCTGAACCATGAAAATATGAGTCTATGGGCTTTTTTATTTCAAACTGAATTCTAAAATCAAAAAAACCACACCAATTTCTTCCGAATCAAACTTTTCTCGCTTGATACTACGTAGTCTCACTAAAAACCCTTAGTCCCCCCTAGTCCTGCAAAGTCCCCCTTAGTCCCCCCCACAAAAAGCTTAGTCCCCGCTTAGTCCCCAGTGCAGGGGACTAAAGCCTATAGTACACAAAACCACAAGCACACCCTCACCCTCACTCGCGCGCCCACACCCGCACCATGGGTGTGGGTGTGTGTGGGTCCCAGACCAACACCCACACCCTCAGTCACCCCCCCCTCCCTCACTCCTAGACTCACGTTTCAGTTTGAAATCAAGTATTATTTTTATTTGATAAATTCAGACTGAAATTAAATAGCCCATTGTATGGAAAATATATGGTAATGACTGGTGTAACAGCATCAGTGACTGATGCAACCATGCAGACTTCCGAATAATGGCTGAACTTCGCCATCTCTGTAAGTTCTTGATATTCTAACCGGCCATATTCACCTAATCCTGAGGATTGAAACTGTATTCTTGCTTTCAGAGTGTGGTGGTATACGAGACACACTTTCGGGCACGAATATAATGATCAGGCTAACAACATCGCCGGTGACAAAATGAAAGCCTACGGATACGACTGCTAAACGGACATCACCGGTTATTTTGAGCCTCGACTAGTCCGTAAAATTCTATGAACCGGCTCTCACCGTAGGTTGCCGTTCTCTTCACCAGCAGTTTTAGGGTTCATAGCGATGGTCAAAACCAAATAACTGAGTGCATGACGAGACGGCAGATAAAAAGTTTTATCTCAGATGAGTGACTACGAAGCCAGTTACAGAACCGGTAGAGTCACGAAAATCTACGGTGATGATGACTACATGGGTATTACTGGTTATCCTGAGCCTCAATGAATCTGTAAGATGTAAGAAACCGGCCATCACCGTAGGTTTCTGCCGTCCTCACCGATATTATTGGCCTTAAGGATGTTTGTTTATATCCCATTCCTAAGTTATTTGCATAAGTATCTTTCATATTCAGTTAGCTTTACGCCGGCAAATTTCAGTTATATGAACATACTAATACTGGCTGTCATATGCCTATAGTCAATAGCGTATTCGTGAAGTAGTCACTATATGGAAACGGCTTATGAAATTTGTGAAATACGATCGTATATCACAGCAGCTAGATGGATATCGACTGAATATACACTTCTCGATTATGAAATGATCCATTTCACTTTTGATAGGCATCAGTTGGACCTGATGAGCTATAATTGTAGTACGCTGTGACCGGTGCTTACGATGAATCTGTGGAACGGTGGCACCGGTGAACCGATGACACCGTGGTCACCGTCACCGTTGCATCCTTAGTAGGGATGACACTGTGAAGCAGACTCTTTTTCAGCAGGTCAGGTTGGAAGAGAAAGAAGAAAAGGGAAAACTCTGTTTGAAGAGAGTAGTGGATAATCTACCGGTCCAATCAGTGTCGGTTTGTATAAAAAGCTTTTCAAAATGATGCCAACATTGAATAATGTGTAGCATCTTGAGAGTATCACACCTAACTATTCTTGAATTAGGATTTGAATAACTACAGAAGCTACTACTTTGTGCCATGTTTGTTTGGTTATTTCAGTCCCTATGTAATTCGAACTCAATATCGCATACGCTTATAGAACTGATAATCGATTTACTGATTCCTTACTTGTTACACTAGTCGTAGTTGTAGTTGTTGCAGTAGTAGCCGTTGTTGATGTTGTCGTCGATGTTGGCGCACCCGTTGATCCTGCTTTCAATCAAATCTTTTGTGTGATTTCAAATAGTCTGGCTAAAAAAATCTACTTAGCAAGAGGCCAAGCACGAGAGCTGTGATTCCACCCAGTATGAGAATCGTTGTTGCTACCAAAGCAAAAATACCCAATGGCTTGTGGAAAAGATTTCGGCTGCAGGACAAAAGAAATACAATATTTTCTTAGTGTCACATTCCCGCAAAGTGACCTTCAGGCATGTGCTTACATACAAGAAGACATATCCTCTTTGTTTTTTACAAAAATGAACAGTTTTGCTTGTAACAGTGATATTTCCTATTTCTTTCTATCTCATATGTAAGCGTTATATTTGTGTTGCGTCGCGCAACAGAAGTAATATTATTCATTATGAACTTTAAAATTTTTCATTAACACATTTGATAAGTTAACAGAACTTTAAAATTTCATAAGATAATTTAACTTGCTAATGTAATGACGGATTATGCATACTGTAAACTTGCGAAAGGGAATCGCAACTTACCCTTCGTTCTTGGAATATTGCATGGCGGATAAAATCCGTCTCTAATCCAAATCAGATAGTCGTTCCGTTTATACTAAATACTTTTATTTTACAGTTTTCTGTATTTAGTGATAACCACGTTAGCTCTCTACATAAGACGAAACTTTAACTGCTTAGATTAGCCTATGGATACTCTTGTGTTTATATTTCTGAATCACTCGTCTATTTAGTTAGCTGGGCATTCACTTCCTATTCTAAAGTAGTTGGGCGATCCTCTCACTGAAGAATGATCAAGGCATGTTGCATAGCTATTTTTATTGGCAACTTACACGATTAGTGTTCCTCGACTCGTTAAGACATTTGTGTTCCCTTGCAAAGAACGTATATTAGATCGCAGCATTTTATTTTGACGGTTATTGTTTTGCATTAAAGCTATGTCCTGAAACAAAAATTATTCAAAAGAATCGTATGCCTTTTGTTTTATTACTCACCGCTGAAAGTCGGATATCAATATTGTTTACATTAAGTTGCGGTGGGCTACCCGTTTTTGGGTGTTCAGTCGGTCTTACATAATTTTTTCGCGTATAACGCACATTAATGTAATCACTCGCTGGTTGTTTTCTTTTCCCATTCACTACTAGATCGCCAATAGACTGGCACGTGAAGAGGTCGCGCTTTGAAGCACCATTGACAATAGCATGACCTTGAGCCGTTAAATACTCTTGATTTTTCTTTCGTATATCTTCTTTGTATGTAGAGGAAAATTCAAGTCCGCTTGGATTAATATGCGTGATACCAATTTGATTTTCAGTGAGATTCACGGGAGCATAGCTTTGACCTATCAAATACTCCCTTTTTCCCTTCCATATATTTTTTTCGCAGAAATTAGGTTGAAGCTCAGTTTGGTTAACATGAGTGACTTGAATATTGTTTTGAATGAGCATCTGTCCTTCTTGGTGTAAGATTGGATTGCATTTATTGGTGGTTAACGTCAAAAGAT